TATATATATATATTTTTTTTTTCTCGTATAGATAGTCTTATTCGTGTGTGTTTATGCAGGTACAAACATAAGACCATATACACTTATGTATAGTCCGTGGCGAGCCTGTGGGCCCGTCGGTCGTGGTTTGACCGTGCTGTGCCTGGGAGGGTCCTTCTCCAGAATTGTCACACTCATCGGTGGGGTAGTCTTGGCACCAAATCCGGTTCATGCCAGCACATGGCCAAAGCGTCGGTAGGTCATGCCCCGATACATGATTGCCATGAGTGCAGCATCGTTTCACCAGGCTTGGTCGTGCCATAGATTCAATGCAAAAAGCCATAAAACAAAACGTCCATGGTGGACCAGACACACTCAATCGACAATCGGGCAAGCAGGGTTTGCAACATTCTGGCTTCATTCATTGGTTCAGAATATATTCCCGGCCTTTTCAGTTGCCGTGTTGATTCAAGCCTTCCCGGCTCCTGGTTTCATAGCATGTCGAAGACACGCAGTTTGTTCAGAGCGCTTCTGATTTTGCTGGCAGCAGATACTCCATCTGGCAGCGGATCAGGGGCCGCCGTGTGCCCCTGCATCAACAGCAGCTCACCTCTGTACAGCGCGTACGAGTCTGCTCTGGTTGCAGGAGGGCTCCCCGCAACCTTCGGCTTGTCAGGCTGTGCTGCTCATGACTCCAACGTGTCTATGTTCGGTTGCGCAACCAACGCCTTGCCCTTCTGCTTAAACCCGTGGTGCTATGTTGACATGGACTTGTGCCCGGAGAACAGAGAGCTATGTGAGGCCGCAGGTGGTATATTAGGCAGCCAGGCGTCTCCCCATTGCCGCACCAGAAAGCACAACGCCGGCGGCACCAACATCTTGAACCTCTCCGAGCACTACAGCTATGAGACCTGCGGGTCTCGGAACGTCTATGACACATCGGAACTCTTAGAGCCCATTGCTGGGCGCACCATCCGGGCTGCAGCTGCTGCATGGGCACCCTGGGTCGTGAAACGGAAGAACCTTAGAAACGAGGACGTCTGGGGCGGCTACTCGACTCACGCAGCTCAGGGTTGAGGGGACTTCGGGACCAGGCTAAGCTTTGAAGCTCCCTCACTCAGGTCCATCCTTCGACTTCTTCAAGACATCCTTGGAATTGTTTCACCCGGAGCCTGTGATCAAGATCATTCCTGGATGGGCCACAGCAGCATCCAGGGCCAAATTTCCAGAGAGTTCCTACACGGCCTGTGTGCACGACGTGGCAGTCGGCAACTTCGATATCTGTCTTGCTGATCTTTGGCTCACACCACAGAGGAACCAGCTGGTCACCTTCCTGCCAGCCGTCAGGCGCGGCCGCCCTAGGCATATTTTTGAGCGTTTTCCTCAAGACGTATCCAGGGCGCCCACAAACATGTGTGAGTGAGTGGAGTGAGTGAGTCAGTGAGTGAATGGAATGAGTGAGTGAGTGAGTGAGTCAGTGAGTGAATGGAATGAGTGAGTGAGTGAGTGAGTGAGTGAGTGAGTGATTGTGTACAGGAGTGAGTGAGTGGAGTGAGTGAGTGGAATTTTTGAGTGGAGTGAGTGAGTGAGTCAGTGAGTGGAGTGAGAGAGTGGAGTGAGTGAGTGGAGTGAGTGAGTCAGTGAGTGAGTGTGGTGATGTTCCACATGGCGGCCATGCTTGCGCCTAAGTGTGATTTTGACGCGCCTCTTCTCAGCTTTCCGACTTCCGGATAGGGCCGAGGGATGCTTAGATGCTGTCTCGGAAGGGCAAAAATAAAGCGAGGGGACAGCTTCAACCCTCCTGTGCTAGGCAGGACTACTTCTATTTGGTCGTCAAGAAGGACACATACGTGGAAGTCGAGTTAACCATCTGGGAACGTCTGTCGAAGCCTTTCAGTCCCTTTACACCAGGTGCCTGGCTGGGAATCGTGGGCTTTCTTTGCATCATGTCGGTGCTCTTGTGGCTTCGGCAACTGTGCGAGACAGGCTGCCACGGAGATTTCAAGACGCTCTGCAAAAACAACGTCGTAGCAATTCTACGCTCGCTTTTCTTCGTCTGGCACGATTTTCTTCTCGGCCAGAGTAGCATGGACGTAGAGACGGGTCCAGTGCGACAGATTTTCAGCCTGGCGCTGGCTTTCTTCATCCTCATCACATTGGCAAGCTATACCGCGAGTTTGGCCACCGGCCTCGTGGTCGCAACTCCCCCTGACGGCACCGTTAACTCCATCGATGATGCCATCAGACTTGGCATGAAAATCTGTGCTCCTTCGTCCCTTCTGGACACGTTCTCGTCTGTTTACCGAGACGCGTCCTTTGTAGGCGACGAGATCCAGTTTCTTCCAAGATTGCTTCACAGGGGTCAGTGTGACGTAATGGTGCTGTCGCAGGATCTCATTCAGACTCTCTTTGCTGGGAAGGTGCGAGAACAGGATTGTGCAGACTTTCGGGCAGGGCGGATCACGCAGCAGGAAGCCCAATGCAGGGAGGGAGACATGAAGCGTGATTGCGAGTTCAGCAGAGTTGGCGATCTTCTCTGGAGCGTGCCACTCTCCTTTCCTGTGAGCGAAGAGATGGCGCACGCTTTCTCTTGGTCCTTCACGGCTGCCACCACACGTGGTGTCATGGAGGACGCAAAGAGAATGAACGCCCAGCTCTTTTCGCAGTCCATTTGTGAGGACGAGGAGAGTGGCAGCGAATCCCTGGCATTGACATTCGACAATATGAGTGGTTCAATGATCATCTCTTTCTTCATTATGATGATTGGATTTGTCGTCATGGCAGGCCGGCACTTCTACCGTCAGCAGGCCGCAAACAGTACCGAAAATGAAGGATCCCCTGATGATGGCGAGCTCAAGCGGAACGTTTGATCATGATCGCCTGACGCCCATGAACAGGCCTGAAAAGCAGGCCCGGGTGAAAGGTCACATCCGACAGTCGCAGTGGCATCGTCTCGTCTCTGCAAAACTCACCACGAAGAGTTTCCAAATCCCTGAAGGGGATGGAATTGGAATCGACTTTGTGCCATGCGTTGTTCGCAGTAAATGCTGTGTGGGAAGTCAGGCAGTTTTCTGTCATTCTGCAAGGCACAGGCATGAAGCACTCACTGTGTCAGAGTGATACTCTTGAAGGGTTGTTGGGGAATGTGGCAGGAGCGTGTCGGTGGCCTACTCGTAGACGCGATCAACCTCCAGGCTCCTCGGTCCCTCGATAGTTTTTGCTACTTGTAAAGCCGAAGTGACAGCGGCCCATTGCAGTCCTCGCGGGATGCTGCTGCCGTCTGGGCTTATGACCTGGTCATGCGCGAGGAGAGCCAAGTGTTACGCTGTCCATGTCAGACCTGTCAAAGTGCCACCGAGTGCCAGGACGTCACCGAAGGCTTCCGAGACCTGGTGGTGGCGGCCCTCCAGTGAAGTCCTCATGGCTGGGCTAGGTCACTTGCCATCCGTCCAGATGTTAGAAAGGATGGATGCGGTGGTGGAGGAGGCGCAGCAACTGGCGGTGCAGGCGAGTCGTTTCCTGCATGGCATGGTGCAGAGTATCTTCAGTGCCTTCTGCCGAGGTGGTGAACCGAGTCCTTTCGGACGAAGGCACCATTTTGGAGGCCGCCGGCCTGTGTGGCTCCAACAAAGGTGAGAGAGTCTTTGGCTGAGTCTTTCGGTCCGTCCGTTGGAGGCCAAGAAGGTGCTCCGAGACGCCTTGGAAGACCAGGAGTTGCGCAACTCTGCCAAGGCAAGGGACGGACGACGAGAAAGTGCAAAAAAAGAGAGACTCCCAACCGCAGCCGCCGCCACGGAACGCGTTTTGAAGCCGTGCTGAGCCCCGTGCTGTGCCGTGCCTCTACAGGAGTCGCTTTGGAGCATCGTGATCCCCTGGGGCTCCAGATCAAGCCTTGGGCCTTGGATCTTGCGGGTATCCGTCAGAGCCACTGACCCCCGCCGTCGCGGTGAGGCCCCGACGAGGTCAAACGTGCAGTGCGGTTAGCAGAGGCCAGGGTGAACATCGGCATGCCACTTTATGCCACTTATGCAGCCTCCTCCTGGCGTTTACTGCTCTGCATTGTCACACAGGAGCTGGCCTCCCTCCCTGCCCTCAATGACGACGAGCGCGCGAGCCTTCGGTTGGTGCCCTAGCAGAGGCGAAAAAACGGGTGTCAGTTTGGTAACATGGCATGGCCTTCTGTGCTGAGGTCCTTGCAGATGAGGCTCAGAGCCGAGGGAAGGAAGGGCCGGGTCCCCGGGCTTCCTGGGCGGTTCCTCGGGCCGCAGATCTCATCCGGGAGCCCCCTTCTTGGAGCTTAGGTGCTCGAGCAGAGAAGAGGACATCGCTTGTGACGTCGCCCCCTCCTTGCATGGGGCGATTTGCGACTGCGATCCACCCCCGAGGACCGAACCTGCTTCGGAGGCCTTGGATCAGCTCGGCTTCGCGTAGCGCTTTGTACTGCTGGTAGGAAAGCGCTTCGTCTCGCAGGCTCCGCCTCAAGCGGCCTCGGGGGTCTCACAGGCCAAAGAAGCCTCGCAGGTTCCCGAGGAAACGAAGGAGAAGCAGGCCCGGCCCGGCTCGGCCTGGGCTTGGATCTTCCACAAAGCACCGCCCCGCGGCCGTGGGGCCTCAGGTGCGGCCGCTTGAACTGACGACGCAGCCGCTCAAGGCACTGAAGGCACCAGAGGCTCCTTCAGGCACCTGCCAAGCGAGGGCGGGGGAATCGCAGGTGTCAGCGTATTTCAGCCTTCCGGAAGGCGAAGACACCTCGCCAAAGGCATCGGAAAAGGATAGGCGGACAGGATCGCGCAAGACGCAACGTCATCATCCCTATGCAGGTCCCAGAGAAGGTGGCAGAGGGTGTTGGGTCACCATGTCCAGAGGACAGCTGACGTTGCTCTGCCAGCACGGGATGAAGGAACCAACATGTAGCAGGAGCCTGGACAAGACGTGCGCAAGGCTGAAGACCAGCAAGCGCCGTGAGATGCCGCGAGTGACGAGCCCAGACCGGAGGAGTTCGCAGTGCTGGCCAGGCACACTGCCGTGGCCAGAGGCAGCCAAAGTGCGCAAGCCGAGCCCAAAGCAGGCAGAGCGAAGGATCGTAGGTGACCGCACAAGGCCCAACGCCCATTGTGGAGGTCCGAGATAGTTTTTAAAGACTCGCGTGTCTGAGCGAACACTGGTAACTAGCAGGATCCGATGCGCAGGGTTAGGATGCTGGGAAATGCCGACCCGGATCCTCCAAGCAGGAAGCCCAGAGCCCGAACCTCCAGACTGCATCTCTTCCGCAGCTGGGGCCCAGGTTGCATCCGCAACATAGATGCCGAAACTGTTGTAACAAGAATATTATGTTGCAAAGCTTGATCAGCCCCAGCTTGGAAAACAGCACAGGGCAAAGGCAAAAGGTATGGGCCCTACAAACACAAACTAGGCATGTTTTGAGCATCGATCAATCGTGGCTGGAGGCCCAATATTTAACATCGCGCTTGCAAGCAACATGATTTTGCAAGCCTGTACAAACCGGCTTAGAACAGGGCCACACGGGTAGAATTGCCAGCCAGTGACTCTCCGAGCAATGCTGGCGGAACGAAATGACGATGACTTCGACATGCTTGAAAGGCGATTTGAGCAAAAGTACGAGGTTCCGGACTGGCTGCCTCGGTGAAGTCAGAAGGTTGCGACGGTGCTCTGTCCCGGTAGGTCACTGAGCCAAAGGTTCTCGGAGAAGGAACCTACGGCAAGGCCAGATGCCCTGAAACCGCACTCTCCAGGTGAGCCGACGCGAGTCCCAAGCAAGTGCCAGGTTTACAAGGCCGTCAGCCGCATCAGCAACCAGGCCGCCGCACACAAAGTTGTCACCTGATCACTCATCGGCCCATGCAGGTAGTTGCAATCAAGAGGATCAAGCTCAACCCCGATGATGATGAGGGTGTACCGCAAGGGTCTCATCGGTGTCGCAGCCGACACTTTCACCCACTTCTGCGGAATACATGTTTTGGGTGCCTATCTACTGTCCTTCGCATCGGCCCAGGAGTACTGCGCTGCGCGAGGTGGCCGTACTGAAGGACTTATCTGTACTGTGGCTATGTCTTGATCAACCAACTCAAACTTGGGAGGGAGCAAGGAGCAGTGGGATTGCTGAAGATACTACAAGTAGCGATCAGCTCAGGGCAAATTTAGACCATACCAGGACTTTCAGACCGTTGCTCCTGTTTCGTGAAGCTTGCTGTCTTCAGCGCGTGCAGGAGCTGGACAGTGAGTATGTGGTGAAGCTGTTTGAGGCGTCAAATTTACTGTTCGCAGCAGGGAAGAGGTGACAGCTGTTGAAGGTTGTGAACATGCAACTTCAAGCAGTTCCTTGCTTTCCTCGTCTTTCGCCACCGCCTCCTCTTCCTCCTTCTGATGCATTGCCGTCGTCGTCCTGCACATCATCAACATCATCATCGTCATCGTCATCGTCATCGTCAGCATCGTCAGCATCATCAGCAGCATCAGCAGCATCCGCAGTATCAGCATCAGCATCAGCAGCATCAGCATCAGCATCATCATCATCACCATCATCATGATCATCAGCTGAGAGTTGAGAAATCGCGCCCCCTCTTCCCTGAGCTGGGGTGGATTGTCCAATTCGTTTGTATGGCATGATGGGCAGGTGTTCTGCTCTCCGAGCAAGCTCGTGCTCGTTTTCGAACTCATGGAGAACGATCTTAGAAAGTGCCCTGCCAAGCAGTACCAGCTGGAGTCGGCTGGACTGAGGACGCTTCTAATCACGTGCAAGGTACATGAAGCAAGTGGGAGGAAAGATTCCCTCGTGCTTGGCTGAGTTCGTTTGCCTCTAGTCAGCCCTAAAGGTGCCACTCCTGCGGCTTCCCAGGCATCATGTGAAGAGCCTCTGCTGGCAGATGGTGAAAGGTCTAGAGATTTGCCACGTGCCCCGGCCATGAAGCCAGGTGAGCTCTTCTTAGTACCGCAGGCTCAGAGCGCATGCCCGAGGCCAACCGCATCATACATCGCGACATCAAGCCCTTCCCCCTGCTGGGTCAAGGTTTTGGCAGCACTCGCACTCCGGTCGGTTCACTGCAAGGCCTCAGAACCTCTTGATCGATGCGAACCACAGATTGAAGTTAGCGGACTTTGGCCTTGCTCGGGCCTTCATGGTCCAACCCTCAAGCCGGAGCCTGTCGTTTGGGGATCCTCTCCGGCCGTTCTTAGACGCCAAGGTTCCTATACCAAAGTACACCCACGAGGCAGGAATTACGCAGGGATATTTGGGGGCTCCAAATAAACGGCTGCTTTGCCAAGGTCGTCACGGTCTGGTACCGCGCCCCGGAGATCCTCCTGGGCTCGGCCTCCTCCTGAGTTTGGCCAAACTCTCGTCACGGTTTCCGTGGAATTCGAGGGCAAAGCTTTGATTGGCCCCCAGAGTCGCTGTGAACACAGGGCGCCTACAGCATCGCCATTGACATGTGGGCTGTGGGTTGCGTTTTCGCCGAGATGGCGACCGGCATGGGACCTACGTTGGACGATTTCGGATATGCCGGATATGCCGATGCTCAGGTGGTCCCTTGTTTCAGGGAGACTCTGAGATTGATACGATCTTCAAGGCCCAACTCACATTCACATAAGCATTGAATGCAGAGATGCAGCGGGTGGCAGCGCCTGTGAGATCTTCCAGAAGCTGGGCACACCGAATGAGATGACTTGGCCTGGAGTTCAGGATCTTCCAAAGTCACCCCCCCGGCCAAATCCACGCGTTCGGTTCTGCGATGTCTGCTTCATCTGGTGCATGCTGAGTTTCAAACCAAGCTTTCCTCAATGGAGACACAAGGGACGCGACCTTGGCTTTTGCGGCGCGCAATCCTGTTGCCGTTCTGTCTTCTGTCTGTAGACAGGAAAGTACTGTTTCCTTGTCGAGGCTGGGCAAACATCCGCCAAGGCAAGACAAAGGAGAAGGCACGAAACCACGGCTGTGCCAGCGTTCACGGTCAAACAAAAGCCGGAAGTTACGCGACGATCACCGCAGCGAAGACTAAACTACGAGGAGTGCGGTGTAACTATGAAGCTTGCTTGCATCAAAAGGTTGGTGAGTGTGGTATTGATCTTCTGGAGAAATTCCTGGCCTATGCCCCCAAGCAGCGACTGCTCCTTGTCTAAATTGCAAGCGCATCTGCATCATGCCGTGATGCAGAGTAGAAACGTGTAGAAATCTTCAGGATTTAGGTAGTTTAGGGTTTTTACACCCTAGACAGGATTGGGTTTGGGGCTTCTGAATTTCTATACCCTATAGTTTGACTCGGCCAAGGAGTGCGCGCAAAGGGCTTCAGCACCCGTACCTGGCAGATGCCGGGCCTTAATTGCCATGCATCGAAAGCTTGTCGCGTGTCAAGCGCGATTAGCTGCTTAATTCAATGGTTCGTGCAGTGGGGACGGCACTTGCTACAATCAAGACAGTTGAAAAGCCACAGCTGTGGTGGCTATGGTGCAGCTTTACTCGAACTCCTGAAATCGCACCGGCTTGTATTCCACATGTGATCTGCCCCTCTCCCATTCAGCTGGTTTAACTATTGATCACTGCGAGTCGTGGACAGGTGTGCTGAACCTTTGCAAGTCCCTAGTGTCGTCTGCGACTTGCGAGTGCTCAGTTGTTTTTCAGTGCTGGGCATGTGCAGGGGACATTGCACATTACATGCCGAAGCCTGTCACGAAAGCAGTGTTTGCCAGCCAATCTTTGCGCATGCATGACGTGTCAGGAGCTGGCACAAGCGACTTGATGCATGCTGCATTAAGACTTCAGGACGTGTCAAGCGGTTGTTGCTCGTCTCAAAATGCAAGGGGTACCTCATGATGTTAATGTAGCCTCCCAGCGACCGCTGTAACAGCTCTACACTTACCTGTAGCCATGTCCATTGTGGGCTTCAGCAGCAACTGGCGGTTCATGTGGGTAAGATGCAGTTTTATGGCTGGTTGGTCATGATCATGGCTGAGTCTTCGTGCCCAAGGGACACTTGTAAATGCACAAGTGTCAGACTTGTGACGGAAGCGCAAATCTTCATGGCAATGGCCCCATTCCAACACGCGATGGTCTCAACGACAACCGGCAGAGAGGCACGGCTCTTCTAACGGCTTTCTTTTGAAAGACGGGCTGTTCATTGCGGATGCATTCGCTCGCGATCTCATCCGTTGCGTCTGGCCCATGCCTCTCAGCGGTAGCAGAGATCTTGTTGCGCCTCCGCGCATTCCCGCGAGATGGGCAAGCCACGTGGAATCAGATGTGCCCGTAAATTGAGGGTTCACCGAAGGGAGGCCTTGTGGGCAGACAAGGACCCGCAACGGGCATGGCATTGAGATGCAGTGAGAAGCCATAGTGCTGCAATGCTTTGAACAGCCTGAAGGACTACAAGAAGGCAAACCTGGGCACGAAGTACAAGTGCAATCCTTTCGGAGGCGACTGTTGCCGAAAGGAGGCCAGCATTGGGTTCCAGAGATCCGGCAGAGCTTGCCAGGCACTTCCCACGCCAAAGGCATTGTCGTTGAGAAGATTGGCATCGAAGCAAAGCAGAAGCTCGTCTGAACAGAGTGTTCTTTCGTGGCTGTGGATTTACCGGTCTTATTTCATGTACGAATGACTTGAAGGCCAAACTCGGCCATCCGCAAGTGCTGCCGTAGCGAGCTCAGTTGTCCGTCATTATAGTCTGCAGTCCCGTGCAGCCCTCGATTCAATTTTAGCAACTTAGATGACCCCAGGTGTGCAGCTGATCAAGAACGGTAAGAAGATCGCAGCCTTCGTCCCCAGGCCATTTGCAATCCCTATCCCATGTGGTAGCTCCAGGAGGCTGTGTGGCTTGACATGGCTGCCAAGGGATGGCTGCCTGAACTTCATTGATGAGAACGATGAAGTGTTGGTGTCTGGCTTCGGACGACGAGGTCACGCAGTTGGTGCCCCAGAAACGTTAAGGGCTCTGCTGCCAGTATCAACGGCTTCGCGTCCGCCGTGCGTTGATGTAGGTTGGTGATATTCCCGGCGTTCGCTTCAAGGTCGTGAAGGAGGGGCAAGGGACAGCTTGCACGAGTGTCCAGTCCCGGCAAGGAAAAAAACAACAAGGCCTTGTTTTCGTTTGATTTGCAATGATTCGCAGGTGGCAGGCTGTGGCCTGGGAGCTCTGTACAGGAACAAGAAGGCTCGGCGAGCGTGTCCGTTGGAGCTGTCCTTGCTCCAGCTGTGTGGCCGGAGGGGTGCCTTTGCCTCAGGAAAAGCCGCGTTCCTGAAGATTGAGTGGTAGTGAAGCGCCGATGCCGGAGAGAGATCTGTCTGCTCTTGTGAGTCAAAAGGTCACTTTGCCTCCAAGTTGCTTAGCTCTGGATCCGTGGATGTCGCTTCTCTGTTCGTGATCCAGTTTGGAGTGCCCAGAACCAGAATGCCGTCGGTTACGTAGAACTGACTGGATGCTGAAAGTGCATGCAGTATCATGCAATGTATCCCGTGCATCAGCCAGCTAACAACGACGATATGACCTGAACCCTCCCTCCGGTGTAGTGAGCTGTAGTAGGAGCGCCAGGTCGTGCAACTTCGCAGCCGAGACTGTGCACCGTCGCAGGATTTCTTTGAGAAAGGCCGTGCACAGAGGTCCGTGGCGAGAGCTGCAATGCAGTTTTTCTCGGTGGTCTCTGGTTTCTGTTGAGCATCGGCATCGGTCTGTGCCCGCAGCTTTGAAGCTTGAAAGCCGACTGCCGAGATTGCTACACTACACAGCACAGTAGTTGATGACACGTCCCTTCAGATCCTGCAAAGATTTCCGTAGATTTGTCAGCTGGTTTAATTTGCAGTCCCAGCATCTACATTTCAAGCAGACTAGGAGTTAACAATTTGAGACCAATGTAAGCAGCAGGGCCATGAATTGTTGACTCATGGCGAACTCTTGCGCTGAGGCGCATGTCCAAAGGCGCAACCAGCTGCAAGCCCTATACCCCTAAACCCAAGACCATCCACCTGAAAGTACAAAACCCTAAACCCTCATCAGAGCCCGCTCAGTTTTGGCAAGGGGATTTCTCTCTGGAACTTGTCAGGTCATGGCAGGAAGACTCAAACAAAGAGGTTTGCAGTTCTGTGTTGCGTTGGTTTGCGACGTGATCGGCAGGTAGCCACGCCGATCGGCGTGCACCTCGTCAGGCTGCCCGTTCCCAAGTATGGCGTCTACTGGAAAGAAGTAGTTGAGTTGACAGCAAGGCGATGCCTGAGAAGTCTCCAAAGAAGAAGCCGGGGGCTGTCCATCAACGCAGATCCTTCATGGTGCTTTTTGCCAGAAGCTGTCAAGTCACTGGCAAGGAAGCGGTCTTCTTCACACGACGCTGGCACCAAGGCGGCGGCTTTTGCACCTGTACTTCTCTCTCAGCACGAATCTCCGTTTCCCTGAGAGGCGTCCAAGAAGAAAGCCTCGAGGTCAAGATCTCGAGAAGATGACCGGAAGAGGCAGCCAACAGCTGACGGGGGTCCTGCACAGATTGCACGGCTCTTCTAACGGCTTTCTTCATTCGCTCGCGATCTCATCCGTTGCGTCTGGCCCATGCCTCTCAGCGGTAGCAGAGATCTTGTTGCGCCTCCGCGCATTCCCGCGAGATGGGCAAGCCACGTGGAATCAGATGTGCCCGTAAGTTGAGGGTTCACCGAAGGGAGGCCTTGTGGGCAGACAAGGACCTGCAGAGGGCATGGCAGTGAGATGCAGTGAGAAGCCATAGTGCCGCCATGAATTGAACAGCCTCAAGGACTACAAAAAGGCAAACCTGGGCACGAAGTACAAGTGCAATCCTTTCGGAGGCGACTGTTGCCGAAAGGAGGCCAGCATTGGGTTCCAGAGATCCGGCAGAGCTTGCCAGGCACTTCCCACGCCAAAGGCATTGTCGTTGAGAAGATTGGCATCGAAGCAAAGCAGAAGCTCGTCTGAACAGAGTGTTCTTTCGTGGCTGTGGATTTACCGGTCTTATTTCATGTACGAATGACTTGAAGGCCAAACTCGGCCATCCGCAAGTGCTGCCGTAGCGAGCTCAGTTGTCCGTCATTATAGTCCGCAGTCCCGTGCAGCCCTCCATTCAATTTTAGCAACTTAGATGACCCCAGGTGTGCAGCTGATCAAGAACGGTAAGAAGATCGCAGCCTTCGTCCCCAGGCCATTTGCAATCCCCATCCCATGTGGTAGGCCGTCTCCAGGAGGCTGTGTGGCTTGACATGGCTGCCAAGGGATGGCTGCCTGAACTTCATTGATGAGAACGATGAAGTGTTGGTGTCTGGCTTCGGACGACGAGGTCACGCAGTTGGTGCCCCAGTAACGGTAAGGGCTCTGCCAGTATCAACGGCTTCGCGTCCGCCGTGTGTTGATGTAGGTTGGTGACATTCCTGGCGTTCGCTTCAAGGTCGTCAAGGAGGGGCAAGGGCAAGGGACAGCTTGCACGAGTGTCCAGTTCCGACAAGGAAAAAAAACAACGAGGCCTTGTTTTCGCTTGGTTTGCAATGATTCGCAGGTGGCAGGCTGTGGCCTGGGAGCTCTGTACAGGAACAAGAAGGCTCGGCGAGCGTGTCCGTTGGAGCTGTCCTTGCTCCAGCTGTGTGGCCGGAGGGGTGCCTTTGCCTCAGGAAAAGCCGCGTTCCTGAAGATTGAGTGGTGGTGATGTGAGTGGGCGCTCCAGTCCTTCGTGCGGACCAATGTGGGTGCGGACAGGTAACGAGATCTGCTTCTGGGAAAAAGAGCTCGTGCTTTGCGAATTCGTCTTGTAGTCTTCAACACAGGCAGGCGAGAAATGCTGGCAAAGCATTCAAGGCCCGTTTGCAGGTACACGGCTCTATGCGCCCTGATCAGGAAAGCGAAGTCACGCTCGCGCAATCGTTCCAAAGATCGAGAACGATCGCTGGATCCTCTCCTGTCCTGATACCTTTCTTGCTGCTGGAAGTGTAGACTGGCACTGCCATGCTGAGGCGAGACCGCGACAAGCGGCGACGCAAAGGCACGGCTAAGCCTAAGCCATAGGAGTCGATGGTAGGGCAGCGGAGCATGCAAAGTGAGCGCGACAGTCCGCCCCACGTTAAAGCCTATGGCCTGCGGCCTTTTCGATCCAGTGATCTTATGGAGGCCGTCGAACCCACAACGTCACCTTGACTTTTCGTTAACCGGCGGCGGCTTTAACTCCGTTGGCTGAACAAATCGGCGAGAGGACCCCGTAACATGTAAAGGAGGTGGAGGCCAGCAGACACCTCCCCTTTCAGCTCAATACCGGCAAGTGCACTTTGGACTCAAGCGCGTTGTTGCGCGAGCCACAACTGTCGGATGCTGCGACATCCTCGAGCTCGGTGTCATAAGGGGCTGTCTTGCAATGGGGAGCGATGTGCTGGATGTGCATGGGCTTGGCAGATTCTTCCGACAGCCGCCGAAGGCAGCGAGACAACCGCAGGTTCGGTTTCTAGATGTGGCAGTGCTTTGACCGAACGTTTCTCTGTGGCGCTTCGTCACTTGCGAAGTCGACCGGCAGGCGTCAGCGCGCCTCGAGTTCTAGCTCGCTGCCGGTGCGCGTGATGAGATCTGCGAGACCGTTGCTGGTAAAGACCTGAAATCTGGAAGCCTGTGAGGTGCGACGGAGGCGATCTCCCGACCGGAGGCGATCTCCGGAGAGGAGGCTGGCAACGGAAACGGGAATTAAGAAGGGTCCGAGGCCGAGGCTTCTTTTGTCACGGTACATTGCCAGATGTAGGCGAAGTACCCAATAATGCTCTACTGACGTCGAGCTTCAAAAGCCTCCACAGAAGCGCAGTTTCCAGCTGGGAACAAAGGCGAGCTCGGATCGTGCCAGGCGAAGCCCTGATCGAGCACGCGAGCGTGATCGAGAACGCAAAGCCCGTCGAGCCAAGGAGTGCCGTGTGTCCAGGGATTTTGTGCTGTGGGTGCGTTGTTTGATGCGGAGGATTCAAGCTCCGACGCCGGGACCCAAGTTTGATGTGGATTCCCCCATGGCACATTGGGATCCGCAGGATCGCAAGAGCAAGAAGAGCAAGGCACGCTGTAGCACAGAAAGCCAGGTTCTTGCTTGTGCGGACGAGCCTTTGCAGGATAGCAACTTTGACAGCGAGGTGATTGACGTCAGACCGGGAACCGAGGACGGGTGTCTTCGCGGTCTGTGACTCCAATGATGTGCTTTCCGTTCATCTCCCAGAGGAGACGAACGGCGAGAAGGAGAAGTCCTTAGCTCGCTCTCGCTCCTCGAAGTTCAGCGAGGCCGGAAAGGCCACAAAGGCTCGGAGACTCCGCGATCCTCATGTGGCCTTTGCTTGGGAGGCGCTGAACCCCTACCCCAAGGGCTCCAGCGAGGCGGGAGCAGAGGAAGCCCACCCCCCGCCCCCCTCGATACCCCAAATGACTTTCAAACCTGAGAACAAATCCCAAATTCTGTTTGGTTGGGCTTCGCTGTTAATATTTCATCATTAGCACACGTGAGCTGTCGTCAAAACTGCCGAAAATTCAAAGCTGTCAAACTTTCGACTCGCTGCCTCGAGCTCAATCTTGAAACTTTGGACGACCCCCCACTTCGATCGGGGCTCAAAGAATGAATGTGGAAGTTGTGTAGAATGCTCGAAAGCTTCGAGCTTGAACACCTCGCTCCAAGTTCGCTGCGGCTCGCCTTCGAGGTCGACAGTTCCAGAAAGGTTGGGAATTCGTTTTTTTTCTTTTTTTAAGTTTGAGAGTTGCAAAGGGTCAAGCATTCCGAAATCCGCCCCTCTTTAGGCGACGCGGTCTAATCACATTTTACCGCCTCCTCATCAGGCGATGGCGTGGCGGTTAATGAGACATCGTCGGCCGTGACAGGTCTTCAATTTGAGACGTGCTCTTGTGTCTTACGTTTTCATTCTCTGGCATTCAGGGCCCACGTCTTGCGTATGGGGATCGGGGCCTACACATAGGATTTCAGGGTGCCAGAAAAACCAAAACCGTGAAGCAGGTTTTGCGCATATTCATTGGAGCCAAGGTCTGGCTTCACCGAAAAACCCTACACGCTAAACCCCTTTGAGGTGTCGGGGTTCTTCCAGCGCAAGTCTTGCTTGCCCCTAAGCCTCGGAACCCAGACTCTACAGCATGATTACATCCTGAGCCCAAAGCCTTCATGCCTTAGAGCCTTAGGGTAAACAGCGGGGTTATGACATGTCCTCAACTTTACATAGTTATAGCTTTCAATGATTTCGTGCTCCAAACTCTAAAGCTCTGAGACCTTGAAGCGATCCAACTCTCAAGCTCCGTGTCCTTCAATTTTTAGAGCTTCAAAGATTGAGCAGTTCAAAATTTAGAACTTTCTATCTTTAACCCGTTTCAACTTCCAACACAAACTTTTGATTTTTGAACTTTGCAAACCTCTAGACGTTCATTCTCCCATTCTTCAATCTTTGAAACTACAACCTGTCAATCTTTCAGTCTCGAGCCTTCGAGACGGCCTGTGGACACGCCAGCATCCTCCACGTCCCTCTGACGGCACCTGTCGTCGTGGCTTCAAACTTTCAAGATGAGTTCCTGTTCAACCATCTGGTACGTTCAAACTTTCAATGTTTCGAGTTGGAGAAGCCCTACTCGTGACACCTGTCCTGGAGAGGTTCCCGACACTCAAATCCTCACAGTTGTTCGGCCATGCAGCGATACAGCCCTACAAAGGTATGCAACAACAGGCCCAATGCACGATAAGTTGCAGAACCAACACACCCCCTCTCCTGTGCAGCAACGGCATCAGTTGTAGAAGGCACAGGAGCAGTTTGTGTTGTGGTGCCGGCATCGCAAGGACGGTGTGACTGACTGTATGGTGAGGCAGATGGTGCTGACTGTTTCTGATTTCCAACATCACGGACTGATTGGCAGCCCTGAGCACACATTGCTGGCCTCAAAACAGGCATCAAGAGTCAAAGGTCAATGCAACACTTGGGTGAGAACTCGACCATGTCAGCGAGAATGTGTAGCTCTTTTTATTGCTTGGGGTCTACGCTGGCAAAGTTTTGGTTGGCTTGCTCTCAATCCTTGTCATCCTCCACCCCCCACATCATGTGAAGGCTGTTCGATTGGATGCAGCACGGTTGGAGGTGGCATGGATCCCGAGCTGTTCGGACCAGCACGCGCGCGGATAGTTGCATGATATGCATGATCGTAGTCATTTGGTCGTGCCAAGGCCAGGTTGAAAGCCATGGGAAAGATGCCGCCCCCGCAGCTCTTGAAGGAGGCTGTTGCCACCTATAGACGCTTCCATTGCCACTACCACTACGGCTGCTGCTTGCTCTTTCTATTTACTACCTACTACTTACTACTACTACTAC